AGCAGGACAACAAAGAAATAGACAGCTGAAAAGATCAGGCATCTTAAAGTGTTGATTATTTCAGACGGAAATAAATTTGTGCCATTTCAACAAGTATTTGGCTGAAACGGGAGGCACAAAGACATAGGCGACGCAATGCAGAGTGTTAGTAGCTGGTGGCATAAATATTCTGGTGACTGCATTTTAACCATTTAGAAAGAGATTTATACACACACGCCCCAGACCCTCCTCCCTCAAACATAATAGAGCTTTGGGATAGACAAAGTGTAAGAGGAACTTTTGAAGGATTTTATGCAACAGTCAGTAAGTAGCATAATGTGTCATTAATTGCTACCTGGCAGGAAATGCTGCTACAAAGAGAAACTGTTTGAATTCTGACCCTCTCCTCCAAAAAAGTCGCAACCCCTCCCAGCTTTGTATCCTCTGCAAATTTAAATAAGTGTACTCTCTATGTCAGTGTCTAAATTGTTGGTGAAGATACTGCACAGAACCGGTCCCAAAAATCACAACCAGCCACTAACTGCTGTGGAGTTCTGTAATGCACTACGGTATGGGCCGTCCTTGCTGTAAGTCCAAGATACCCGGAAAAAAACTTGGACTTACAGCAAAACAACGTAAAGTGGGGAATTTTTTCCCCGCAGCTGACTTCCATTTGCGCAAAAATTGGGGAGGGGGGCGTGTCGCATGACTTAAGAGCGGGGAATGGGAGGACTTATAATGCATCCGTTTCTACAAGCGTCGATAACTTGTGTGGAACAGACGTACACCGGGGCAACTTATAACATGGATGCCCTGTTCTGTCTATTGGTGTAGACTGATGTGTGGTTCCTCTCTCGCCTTCCTCCATCAAGAAAATTACTTCAGATGTTCCCAGAATCACCCCTCCACAACCAAGTTCCATTTTCTAACTAGCAGGCACCCAAAATCACCTCGCTAGAAAAGGCTTCTCCAAAAAGAAGAGAAGCGATAGTTGGAAGAACGCAATACGGGGAAAAAAGGAGCATGCACGAGGAACACGAGCCAGTCCTGAGCGGGCTGTATCCCACGGTATTCTGGTTTCTACAATACAGGCGGTACACCAACGCAGACCTGGGTCTCTGATTGGGTTGCCACTGGGAATACTCAGTTTACTGAACGGTGTATCATCAATTAACTTATTAAGAACATACGGGCAGCCAGAATGGGTCCATCTATCCCAGTGTCCTGTCTGCCACCAGAGGTTTCTACAATACAGGCGGTACACCAACGCAGACCTGGGTCTCTGATTGGGTTGCCACTGGGAATACTCAGTTTACTGAACGGTGTATCATCAATTAACTTATTAAGAACATACGGGCAGCCAGAATGGGTCCATCTATCCCAGTGTCCTGTCTGCCACCAGAGGCCAATGCCAGATGCCCCAAAGGGAGGGAACACAAGTATTCATCACATGATCCCTCTCCTCTTATCCATTTCTAGACAAACAAAGGCGAGGACATAATTCCGACCCATCTTGGCTAATAGCCATTGATGGATCTAACCTCCATGAATCTATCGAGCTCTTTTTTCAACCCTGTTCAAGTCCTAGTCTTCACTACATCCTCTGGCAAGGAGTTCCACAGGTTGACTATGCGATGAGTGAAGAAAAACTTCCTTGTGTTTGTTTTAAACTTGCTGCCTATTCATTTCATTTGGTGACCCTAGTTCTTATATTATGGGAATAACTAAATAGCTTCTCCTTACTCGCTTTTTCCACATCAGTCATGATTTTATAGACCTCTATCATACCCCCCTCTTCGTCTCCTTTTTTCTAAGCTGAAAAGTCAACGTCGTTTTAATCTCTCTTCCTATGGGGACCCGTTCCAAACCCCGAATCATTTTCGTTGCCCTTTTCTGAACCTTTTCCAATGCCAATATAGCTTTTTGGAGATGAGGTGACCACGTCTGTACGCAGTATTCAAGATGTGGGCGTACCATGGATTTATACAGAGGTAATAAGATGTTCTTTGTCTTATTCTCTATCCATTTTTGAATGATTTCTAACAGTCTGTTTGCTTTTTTGCCTGCCGCTTTACTGAGTGGATTTTTTCGGGAGCAATCCACAAAGACTCCAAGATCTCTCTCTTGAGTAGTTATAGCCAAATTAGTCCCCGTCTTATTGTATGTGTAGCTGGGATGTTGTTTTCCAATGTGCATTACTTCGCATTTATCAACTTTAAATTGCATTTGCCGTTTGGTTGCCCAATCACTTAGTTTGGAGAGAGCCGCTTTACTGAGTGGATTTTTTCGGGAGCAATCCACAAAGACTCCAAGATCTCTCTCTTGAGTAGTTATAGCCAAATTAGTCCCCGTCTTATTGTATGTGTAGCTGGGATGTTGTTTTCCAATGTGCATTACTTCGCATTTATCAACTTTAAATTGCATTTGCCGTTTGGTTGCCCAATCACTTAGTTTGGAGAGAGCTTTTCGAAGCTCTTCACCACCCTTTTTACTGCTGTAATGTGTTTGCTGCACAACAATCCAGGAAGCTGAAAACTTTCAAAATTGACATGACCACACCGGGGTTTTTGTTAGTCATCTAAACAGTCCCACCATGAAAAGCGGGAGAAAGCATTTTCCTCCCGCACCAAACGCTGTTCCTCTGTCTAAATCCTTCAACGTTCTCCATTGAGCTGACTTTACGGGAGGGGATATCTGGGCGCTCGGCTCACCTGCCCAGAGACTGATCTTCAGGATTGGAGCCTGGAACAGGATAAGGGGCACAGGTGTCGTCGGCAGGAGTGGAGGGGGAAGAACATGGCAGGTAAACAGCACTCCAGAGCATTAAATTACGCACGTGACATACTGGATACAGCACCTAAAAAGAGAAAAATGTGGCACGGTCATGCGTCGGAACATTCACCAGGAATGCTGCGGCTTTCGTTTTACAGCTCAGATTTGCTGTTCTGAGGTGTGACGAGGCAAGGTGTCGTCGGCAGGAGTGGAGGGGGAAGAACATGGCAGGTAAACAGCACTCCAGAGCATTAAATTACGCACGTGACATACTGGATACAGCACCTAAAAAGAGAAAAATGTGGCACGGTCATGCGTCGGAACATTCACCAGGAATGCTGCGGCTTTCGTTTTACAGCTCAGATTTGCTGTTCTGAGGTGTGACGAGGCAGGGGAAGAACATGGCAGGTAAACAGCACTCCAGAGCATTAAATTACGCACGTGACATACTGGATACAGCACCTAAAAAGAGAAAAATGTGGCACGGTCATGCGTCGGAACATTCACCAGGAATGCTGCGGCTTTCGTTTTACAGCTCAGATTTGCTGTTGTGAGGTGTGACGAGGCGTCGGGTATCCTCCGACCCTGCCCCCCATCTGCAGCAAAACGAGACTCCGCCAGCCAGTAGAAGAGAGTGGATTTATTGCTTCTGAGAGGTACAGCACAGCCCGGGTTCTATGTGGGCATCGAAGTGAGGGGGCAGGCAGCCTCAGACACCTTGGGGTAGGGGTCCACCGGCCCCTGAACGCCCCCCCGTACTCAGCTTAGTTTCTTCTCTTCATGTTTTCTGAGCCAAGACTGCCCCTTCTCCAAACCACACCCTTTCTTTGTTCACACCCCTTTCCTGCTCAGGTGAGAACCGGTTGGGCCATGGTCTCCGTGACATGAGATCCCTTAGGGCGACCCCCCGCTGGGCAGTGCTTACAGACACAGGCCAGTAGGGGTCACCCACAGCCCACGCATAGCGCCCAACAAATGCCCAACCAGAGTGTACCGCACGCCCACTACGTCACATGAGGTTCTACCGGATCCCGGATAAACCCGAATCTAAGCAGCAGCAAGGGCAGTTTTAATATTTTTTTCGACGCTATCAAGTTGTTACGTTTTCCTTTACGTATAGGGATTTGGGGAGAGGAAGGGTTTGGAGAACTTGGAAAGAACTTTAGCAACATTTTAAGAGTTTGTTACGGGTGCTTATAGCATGTCACAATAGAATGCGAAACATTCTACCAAACACACCTAAAGATGACAGTCCCTCCCCCTATACCTCATTGAATACTAGGACTGGAAGGGACCTCGAGAAGTCAACGAGTCCAGTCCCCTGCCCTCATGGCAGGACCCAGTACTGTCTAGACCATCCCTGATAGATATCAATCTAACCTGCTCTTAAATATCTCCAGTGATGGAGATTCCACAACCTCCTTGGGCAATTTATTCCAGTTTTTCACCACCCTGACAGGTAAGAACTTTTTCCTAATGTCCAACCTCAACCTCCCTTGCTGCAGTTTAAGCCCGTTGCTTCTTGTTCTATCCTCAGAGGCCAGGAAGAATAAGTTTTCTCCCTCCTCCTTGTGACACACTTTCAGATACCTGAAAACCACTATCACGTCCCTTCTCTCAATCTTCTCTTTTCCAAACTAAACAAGCCCAGTTCTTTCAGTCTTCCTTCATAGCTCACGTTCTCTAGACCTTTCATCATTCTCGTTGCTCTTCTCTGAACCTTCTCCAATTTCTCCACATCTTTCTTCAAATGTGGCACCCAGAACTGGACACAAGACTCCAACTGAAGCTACTAAGTATCTCCACATCTTTCTTCAAATGTGGCACCCAGAACTGGACACAAGACTCCAACTGAGGCTACTCAGTACAGATTAGAGTGGTAGAATGACTTCTCCTGTATTGCTCACAACACACCTGTTAATGCATCCTAGAATCATGAGAGTTTATTACTAAACTGAGAACGTGTAAGTGATTACATTTGTTACGTTCAACATCATGAGAGTTTATTACTAAACTGAGAACGTGCAAGTGACTGCTGTAATGTTTTCCGGGATGCCAGGTTTATTGGACAAACTCTCTGCGAGTGAAGGTATTTTGACACAACTCTCAAACTTCCGAGATCTCTTGCTGGTAACCGTAGCTTGTCAAGCACACAAAATATTTGATTCCTGGGAACACAGCATTTATCTGACACCGAGACACTCTGGGGCTGCCTTTGGTACGCTGACAACAGCATTTATCTGACACCGAGACACTCTCTGGGGCTGCCTTTGGTATGCTGACAAGAAGACGTAAATGCGTCGGAGAGAAGGTGCTGACGGTGTGGGAGCGCATGGCGTGGCAAAGGGTAAGCGAAGGCTATTCAAACATAAACCCTTACGAGGGCACACCAATGGGAACGTTGAGCCGTACGCAGAACATACAATCACGGTTACCTCTAGGCGGCACATTCACAGAGCAGGCAAAGACAAATTAACAACCCCAAGAATGCTTCCGTGAGCGGGATGTTTTTGGACCGTCACATTCCCCCTCCCGTCCCAGCTGTAACTGAGTCTCTCCCCCGGCAACGGGGAACGCAGGACACCTACCGTTTCCGATTGGGAGGAGTACAGCAGGTTTTTAAAGGCTTTGTTTGCTGCCCGCAGCAGAGACCAGACGGAACAGGTCCTTTCCTGAGTGTGCTTTTCTCCTCTCTCCTTCGCGTTGTTGCACAGGAATGTACCAAAGAGGCAAGAATAGGTGTGTTGCACTAATTTGACCTATCCAGAACAACACAGACAGAGTCAGATGACGGCACGTAGGGTGCTTACAAGGGATACACATTTCATGCATAAGAGGCAGTAAATGTGAGGTTGTATTGGCTTGTGTGCTATTTTTGCACCCCTTCTCAGAAAGAACGGGACTACATCATGCTCAAAGTTAAGCACATGCTTAACTGCCTTGCTGGATCAAGGCAGTCTGTGCTAACAAGCCGAGGAGACCGAATTACTGAGGGGCTTGGGGGAAGTACGATAGAACCTTTCTCCCTGAGGTTGCCGGTTCAAATCCACCCAAGTCATTAGTGACTGACAAATACGGTGTGAAAACTTAAAAAACAACAAAGGGTACGGCTAGACTACACGCTGCTTTCGAAAGAGATCGTCTAGACAGACATAACACTTTCAAAAAAGCGATCCGCTTTTTCAAAAGAGAGCGCCGAGGCAATCCGGACCTTTTTTCAATAAAGTCCCCTTTTCATTCAAGAATGCCTTTTTTCGAAAGAGCTCTATCGAAAAAAGGCCTTTTTCCTCGCAAAATGAGGTTTGCCGCTGTCGAAAAACCCGCCGCGTTCTTTTGATTTAATTTCGAAAGAACGCGATGGCAGTCCAGACGCAGGTGACGTTTTTTTCGAAAAAAGGCCCCTTTTTTTTTGGAAAAACCCCCGTAGTCTAGACATAGGTGAATACAGGAAAACCCTTTGTTAAGACAGCCCGAGTTGTGACCATTTTTGTAAGTGGAGAAGGGGCCGAAATCCCCCGACTTATGTCCTCAGACGGCGTGTACAATAGTGCACGGCGCTTATCGTAAATGGAGGTTCAAGTTATGACACCCCCGGCTTGTGACGCTTGACGCCCCAGGAACCGATCACGTCGCAAGTTGGGGGCCACCTTTCGTTAAAGACTAACAAAACAGGTAGCTGGCGTCGTGAGCTTTCGTGGACACAGCAGCTTGGTGGCCTTGAGAGGTGATGTCAGGCCTCGTAGCCAAACTTTTCAGAAGACGGTTCTCAGTATCTGAAAAGCTTTCTGAGCAGGCTTAGCAGAGAAGGAGAATGGGAACTCAACTCTTCTTGTTCTTAGAGACAGTCCCTGCAGGTCAGGATGAAACAGCGTAGCAGGAAAACGTCGGGGAAGTCAGCACTCTCGTTACCTTGTGCTGTCCCTGTTCTGCGGACATTTGAATCCAGGACACGATTGCTTTCATAATTTAAAGTTTTACTGGGGTCGGCAGCCCCTGGTGGCCACCAAGGGTACCCCAAAGAGTTTGTGGGCTCCTGACTGACTCAGCCTCCCACATCCTAAAAAGTGGGGCGAAAGCACACCCCCCTCTTGCATCCAAATTCCCTCCTACACCAAATTCCCTCCGCGACGGGAGGTAGGTGGGACAACAGAGCTCCCCCCGCTCAGGGCTGGTTGGGGCATTAGTTCGGTCTACTGGTTTAGAAGCGTTTGGTAAAACAAATCGCTCAAAGCCCAACTCACAAGGAATGCTTCATTAAACTCGAAAGAGCAAGGGAACTGCCTCTGGAGCTGATGGACACAGTCCAGCCACTGTAAAAATACTGGGCAGCGCTCATTGAGGTCTTCCGAAGTCTCCCCATGGCCGCAGCGATCTGCAAACTTGTGGCCAAAATCCAGCCATTCCATCTCCACTAGAACCTGGAAACCCTGCAGGACAGAAAGTGCACGTGAACCTTGCCAGCGTTTTGGTCAAAAGTGCCCATTCTCCAGGGCGTGGGCTTAATATATAGGTTGGACCTCCCCAGTCCAGAATAAGGGATTTTTCTGGACCAGGGAGGTCATTTCAGCTTCCTGGCTCCCCCCGCAGCCCAGCTGAGCTGCGTGCTAGCTCACAGTCCCTCCCCACGCTGCCTAAGTCGGGCGCCAGCTCACGGCCTCTCCCCAGCCCAGCTGAGCAGGGCACCGCCTCCCTGCGCCCGACCCCCACAGCCCAGCTGAGCCATGCGCAGGCTCCTAGACCCCCCACTTCCCTGCAGCGCACCAAGACTCTCTGATCCTGGAATACCCATGGTCATGCTGGACCACGGAGGTTGCCAGACCAGAGAATCGCGGATTATAGAGGTGCAACCTGCACTTGATTTCTTTTCAGAACTACTCACGTTTTCTTGCAACCTGCTTTTCTTCTATTTCATCCCCATCATCAACCCACCACATCACTCAATCGCATCCATCAGAGGCAGCAAAACTGGCGATCCCATTCATACGTTTTCAGACCCAAAACAAAACCCCGAGTTCAATCATTCTTCATCTTGCCTATTCACTTGCAAAGAAACCCAAACTCAACCGCCCTCCCCGTGTATCTACCGAGGATTTACAAACCTCTATGGTCCTGTAATATGGATCTAGCAGCAGTTTGGAAAGCGCCACTATCTGTGGGGTTCGATCCCAGCCATCCGAGCAGTGCACCAGGACCGGTCGCTGGTCTCTGTCTACCGCATGCACGACCAACAGGGCAGACTTCAGAAGCACAGACAAGTGCTGCAGCCATTTGGTGCTTTCCAGCGCGGACAGCCAACTGCAGAAAAACCGAGGGAGGAGAGTTGGTCATTTTTATGGTTTCCACCAGAGCACGTTGCATTTAAAAAAGCCAGTTATCAAAATTCAGCTTCTGTCTAGTACTAAGCAATGAGAGTTTTCCTTGCTTGTATTTTCCTCGTACGTTCTCGTGTTACCGGTCTCACAAGTTTACAATTGACACAGACGGTCTGTTGAGTATATGGGTACATCTACACCTGCCCTCTAGTTCGAACAAGGGATGCAAATGTAGGTGACCGAAATTGCTCACGAAGCGGGGATTTAAATATCCTGCGTTTCATTAGCATGATCTTGCCGGCACGTTACTCCGCTGAACAGCTGTTTCGAAAGTGAAAGTGCGCGCCGGGACGCGTTAGTTCGAACCAAACCCCTTGGTTCGAACTTATATTACTCCTCCTTTTTTGCATGTTTCCAAAGAGGCGGCTATGGCAGTAGGAACACCTGCCCCATTCAGTTCAGAAAATAGCAGTAGCAGAGGATTCAGATGCAACAATAACACTGAAGAAAGAAACAAACCCCCCAAACGCTCACTTACTTTCCTGGGTCTGGCATTTGCGTGCACAGCAAGCGTAGCGACTGAAAACTCTTCCGGATGGAATGGATGTTTGCCATGCCCATAAACACCACTTCGCAATTTGGATAATACTCTGTACAAATTGTAAAAAAACCCAGAGGGGGAATTAAAAACAGCATGAAGAGCAGGGGTGGGCAATAATTTTCGATGGGGAGCTACAACCAAGTTTTTGGAAGTGGTAGAGGAACGCACTCTTCCGTGGTATTAATGGAGGAGGTGCGGGATTTGGGATGGAGTTTGGGTGGAGAAGGGAGCTGGGGGTAAGGGATTGGGGTACAGGAGGGTGAATGGAGTCTGGGAGGGAGTTGGGGTGAAGGAGGTGGTTGTGACCTAAGGTGCAGGGTTTTGGGATGTGACCTTGAGTGGGAGAGGATTGTGATCTGGGGCAGAAGATTGGGGTTCCAGATCCGGGAGGAGTTATGAGTGCATCTGGAGTAGAGGGGCAGGAGTGTGGGGCAGAGGGTTGGGGAAGAGAGAGGCTGAGGTGCCAGAGGCAGGATCTTGCCAGGAGACTTACCAGCCTGCCCGCAGAGCTAACGGCGTGCAGAGCTTAAAATGTTTCTGCTTGCTGGGCCATGTGCTTGAGTGAGTGAGCAGGTGAGTTGTGCTTCGTGGCTGCCTGTTATTCAAATGGGCAGCTCCCATTGGCCAGTGTCTGTCCAGAAACCGGCCAATGGGATTGTGCTGGGGGCGGGAACAGCATCTGAATCTTCCCCCCTCCTCTCTGGACTTAGAGAAAGCGCCCTGCAGCCATGTTTCTGAGCAGCGTGCGGGGGCTGTACTTTGCCTAGGCCTACTCTAAAGGTTTGCAACACTACATGGGGGGGAAAAACCTCCCTGTAAACAGGCCCCCATGACATACGCAACGCCTTTTCATATATGCATGGATTGGAGAGCAGACACGACTTACCAGGACACTCACAGCCTCCCCCTTTGGCCCGGTTGGCCACCGCCGCGGCGTAAGAACGTGCATCCAAGATCAAAAGCTTTTGCGGTTGGATGGTCAAACTTTCCATTCCCGAAGCGTTCGAAATTGAGGAATCTGTGTAAAGAAAAAGCAATTAAACACACCCTTTGGAACCTGGCCACCTCGGCCAGTCAGACAGGGGCCACCATGTGCATGCATTGTGAGAAATCACACAATCTGTGAACACACTGCCGCCCCACACGTGTCTTCTATCCACGCCATGTGCATGCATTGTGAGAAATCACACAATCTGTGAACACTCTGCCACCCCACACGTGTCTTCTCCTATCCACACAGGAAATCGCACTCACAGCTAGAGATTTAGCCATTTCCGGAGCTCACCAAAGTCCACGTTGGAGAGATCCCCTCCATTGGAGGAGTCTCTGGAACAGGTTCCGTTCATTAGTTTGCTGCTTTTGGACCTGGAGTCTGAGGCACATGCTTTGGCCACGGACTGGACGAGATGTTCGTCGTCTGCATTTCTCCAGCCCCACCAGCTGACCTCCGGCTGTCCACAACGGGAAATTACGGCTCCATTACTCCAGTGCCTACACGGGCAAGAGTAAGCGCAGGTAACTAGAACCGTTACCTTAGTGCCAGGCGTTATCAGTAGAAACTAAGCCACACAGGACCGTAGCAACTTGAGGGGAGTACTATGCCTCTGAGGAGAAGAACGTGTGGGTCAAGGCAGGCCTGCTGTATGAATAGGCCAATGCACGACTTGAAGACGTATTTCTGTGCATTGGCCATATCCGCTTGTGAGCCCCGATTGTGCCCCGGGTGGTGTTACATATTTTGCAAATCACTTGAGTTCTTTGCTGAATTGGTTCTTTACTGCAACTATTGTACGGCACCGGTGCACAGAAAATAACTTATTCCCGCCTCTCCACAAGGGATGTGAACTAACTGTAGCTTGGCTCCTTCCGGGGGTTGTTATATGTCCTTTGTCTGAAAGCACTAACTAAGGTTATGGCTACATTACAGTAAAACACCCGCTGGTTGGCCCATGTCAGCTGACTCGCGCGCCTGGGTCAGGTGACGCAGGGTAGCTGAAGTGTTTCATTCCCTCCATGTTCCTGTCAGTGAAGAGAAACACTTCTGAGTAATTACAGGCCATCCTTGCGATAAGTCCCAGATACGTTCCAAAAAACGTAGACTTACAGCGACACAATTTCACGCGGGAAATTATTTTCCAATGGCTGATTTCCATTTGCTCAAATTGAGCTCCCCCCCCCCTCGCAAATTAAGAGCAGGAAATGGGAGGACTTAAAACACATCAGTTCCTACAAGCATCAACGACTTTAGTGTGGATCGGATATACACCAGGGTGACCTACGGCATGGACGCTCTAAGGGTACGTCTAGACTACCGCGTTTTGTCGACGGACGTTTTGTCGACAGATACTGTCGACAAAACTTCCGTCGACAAAGAGCGTCCAGACACATTGAGTTCTGTCGACAAAGCAAGCTGCTTTGTCGACAGAACTCCGTAGTCTGGACGCAATGTTACAGGCAATAACACCTTCTCAATAACACCTTCTGTCGACAGAAGGTGTTATGCCTCGTAAAATGAGGTATACCAGCGTCGACAAAACTGCTGAGTTCTGTCGACGTTATGTCGACAGAACTCAGCGGTAGTGTAGACGCTGGTATAGTTTTGTCGACAAAAGTCCACTTTTGTCGACAAAACTAGGGAGTCTAGACACACCCTAAGAGAAACCAGACTGGAGACTATAAAAGCACAAAGGGAATTTTTCACGTTATATTCTTCCCAGCCCTGTCTCCCCCAGAACAATTCCACTTTCAAGAGTCTAGCTAGAGACATAAAGGGTAACAAGAAGACATTCTATAAATACGTTAGAAGCAAGAGGAAGACCAAGGAGAGGGTGAGGGCGAAACAACAGGAAACTTGGAAATGGCAGAGGTGCTTAATGACTTCTTTGTTTCGGTCTTCATCAAAAAGTTTGATGAAGGAATGCCTAACATAGTGAATGCTAGTGGGAAGGGGATAGGTTTACAAGAGAAAATAAAAAAAGAACAAGTTAAAAATTACTTAGAAAAGTTAGATGGCTGCAAGTCACCGTGGCCTGATGAAATGCATCCTAGAATACTCAAGGAGCTGATAGAGAAAGTATCTGACGCTTTAGTAGTCATCAAATTACTCAGAAAAGTTGGATGTCTTCAAGTCTCCAGGCCCTGATGAAATGCATCTAGAATACTGAAGGAGCTGATAGAGGAGGTATCTGAACCTTTAGCTATTATCTTTGAAAAGTCATGGAAGTCAGGAGAGATTCCAGAAGATTGGAAAAGGGCAAATTTAGTGCCCATCTATAAAAAGGGCAATAAAAACAATCTAGGAAACTACAGACCAGTCAGTTTAACTTCTGTGCCAAGGAAAACAATGGAACAGGTACTTAAAGAATTCATCTGCAAGCATGTGGAAGAAACTAAGGTGATAGGTAAAAGCCAGCATGGATTTGTAAAGAACAAATCATGAAATACAAATCTGACAGCTTTCTTTGATATGATAATGAGTCTTGTGGATAAAGGAGAAGTGGTGGATGTAGTATACCTAGACTTTAGTAAGGCATTTGATATGGTCTAGCATGACCTCCTCAATAAACTAGGCAAATACAACTTAGATAGGGCTACTATAAGACAGGTGCATAACTGGCTGGGTATCCGTTCTCAGAGGGTAGCTATTAACGGTTCACAGTTATGCTGGAAAGGCATAACAAATCGGGATGCCCAGGGGTCTGTTTTGGGACTGGTTCTGTTCAATATCGTTATCCACGATTTAGATGATGGCATAGAGAGTATTAAGTTTGCAGATGTTACCAAGCTGGGAGGGGTTGCAACTGCTTTGGAGGATAGGGTCATAATTCAAACTGATCTGGACAAACTGAAGAAATGGTCTAAGAAGGTCAACAGAAAGAAGTTTAATAAGGACAAATGCAAAGTGCTCCACTTAGGAAGGAACAATCCGTTTCACACACACAGAATGGGAAGCGACGGTCTAGGAAGGAGTACGGCAGAAAGGGATCTAGGGGTCAGAGCGGACTACAAGCTAAATATGAGTCAGCAGTGTGACACTGTTGCAAAGAAAGCAAACATGATTCTGGGATTCGTTAACAGACGTATTTTGAGCAAGACACGAGAAGTCATTCTTCCGCTCTGCTCTGCGCCGATTAGGCCTCAATTGGAATACTGTGTCCAGTTCTGGGCACCGCACTTCAAGAAAGAGGTGGAGAAATTGGAGAGGGTCCAGAGAAGAGCAACAAAAACGATGAAAGGTCTAGAGAACATGAGCTATGAGGCAAAGCTGAAGGAATTCGACTTGTTTAGTTTGGAAAAGAGAAGACAGAGGGGACACGATAGTGGTTTTCGGGTATCTAAAAGGGTGTCACAGGGAGGAGAGAGGAAAATTGTTCCACTTGGCCTCTGCAGATAGGACAAGAAGCAATGGGCTTAAATTGCAGCAAGAGAGCTTTAGGTTGGACATTAGGAAAAACTTCCTAACTGTCTGGGTGGTTAAACACTGGAATAAATTGCCTCGGGAGGTTGTGGAGTCTCCATCCGTCGAGATATTGAAGAGTAGGTTGGACACACACCTGTCAGGGATGGTCTAGATGGGGCTTGGTCCTGCCATGAGGGCAAGGGACTAGACTCGACAACCTCTTGAGGTCCTTTCCAGTTCTAGTATTCTGTGATTCCTTTACGACAGATCCTACCATTCCTCTAAGAGACATCAAGTAGGTGGGATTCCCTTTGTAGCCTCTCAACTTTGATCACAATATAACAAGATGTGTTGGGACTCTCCCAAAACTTGGGAGCTTCTGGTACCAATTTGGCACCGACGCTGCAGAAACTAGATTTCCCTGAATGCAAGTGTTGTTTTGCACCTCAACGGATCACACGCTTCTTAGAATCATTGAACACTAGAACTGCAAGGGACCTCAAGAGGTCATCAAGTCCAGTCCCCTGCCTTCACGGCAGGACCAAGCACCATCTTAGATGTCTATCCAACCTTCTCTTCAATATCTCCAGGGATGGAGATTCTACAACTGACTACACCTTCTTCGGAAAGCCCAACAGAGGTAGCCATCAGACATCTTGCACAACCAGTGCCATGCAAATGGGCTGGCGTCTGTGTTGGCTCCCGTGAGAGCAGACGGTGGCGTTGTCTTGGCCACCGATTCCTGAACGAGGGCTGTCAACTGGTCAGGAGGCATTTGATCAACAAAATTATTTTGTTGCAAATAGCTGACTAGAGTCATAATTCACTGGGAAGGGTTGGTAACCAACCATTGCAAACGTTAGGCTCTCCTCCCACAGTGGTCCAAACGTCTCCAATCCCATTGTAGGGAGTGGGCCTCATTTAGGCAAGAGTTGACAGCATCCACCATGACTTGCACTGGGTAGAAGAAGAGCAATTCTTTCTTTCTACTTTTCGGTGGCCCACTCACAGAGAGGCACCACCCATGCTGGACGTAAAACAGGACAGCCTCAATCAAGGAGAGGGCTATTTGAGAGGATGAGGAGGAATGTACCATGTCAAGAAGCTTTTCATGGTTGTCCTTGACTACTTCTTTTGGTATCTCTATAGCTTCTGCTGCTCTCTTGGGCTAGTCCTAGAAAAGACACAAGTCATTGGCCAAGGAGAGTTGGGGGCATGACAGCCTCTTCTGCGGTGGTGCAGATGGTGGTCTTCAGAGTTAACTTTTCCTCCGTGTCACCCTCCTATTCCTCTGTGATCTCTCCTGGAAGTGCCAAGGTTCTGGACACCATGTCCAATGGTATGTGTCTCATGGGTTCTCGGGTAAGGCTAAATACCAGAGAGGCACAGGGGTCATACACAGCCCAATGATCCCAGTATGGCCACTGAGGAGATGGTATACAACCCAGTCATGGTGCTCACAGTGGTCCGTACCAAGCTGGTGGCCATGGGGTCTTCCAAGGACAAGCTTGGAGAACATGGCAGGGCAGCGGAAGATGGCTCGGTGTTGAGGTCCTAGTACTGAGGCGACTCCAGTATGTCAGATACGTGGAGGTCTTAAGTACCAGAATTTGGACGGTGCTACCAAGGTGGTTGGAAATCTTGCCCACATTAATTGCCCTGGTGCAGAATGGGATATCATCCAGGTTGCTGGTGGAACTACGTATCTCGGCAGCGTCTTCTTGATGGAGAGCTGGTCTCTTTCTACGTCCTTGGGTGCTGTTGACTCTTTGCTCGTACACAAGAGGTCCTTAGGCCCGCACACTGCTCTTGCCGCTCCAGATTTTTGTGAGTCCTGCGACTCTCTTGATGCTGATGGTACCCAACATGCAGGAGATTAAGGCTGACACGGGGCTCGCTTTGGGGACATCCCATTCGTTTTTCAATGATGTACAAGAGGGGTCAGCGACTTATTTCTTATACGTTGATGGCTGAGAGGAACGCTCATGGCTCCCAGGTCTGGAGTCTGGGCAGGACTGCCTCCGTGGAGATGATCTTCGGTCTCCTCTCCCTGTCCTTGCAAGACCTGGGCAGGGTCTTGTGCAGGTTAGTGGCAGGTTAGTGGCAGGGACCGTATTTCTGTGGAAAGTGGCCTTCTCTGTGGTAGTGTATGCACGGGGAGTGCTTGTCTGCTACGGGGATCGCCTCTTTGCATGGGGAGGCACTTCTCGAAGCCTGGTGAACCAGGCATACCCCGTTGGTGGAAAAAGTCCTGATGAAAAAGGGGGAAAAATAAAGTCTTTTTGTTTTGGGTTTTGGGAGGGGAAGTAAAATAAGAAAAACCACAACTAAGACCGGGGAGATGGACTCATTACAGAAACATAAAAGAAGGGATCGGTTGCAAACAACCCACCAATAGCTCCATCTCTAGACAGGGCTGGCTGAAAAGGACCCGTGGGGGAGGAAGGTGAGCCTGCACACACCGGCTGCCCCATGCGCGAGGGGAGACCGTGCACGCCTGGGCATAACGCACGCTGCTTCCAAAGTTCTCGGATCCGCAGTACTGGGATTACTCAAGGAAGGGTTGAGTGCACAACACGGAGGTAATTATGGAATGTAAAGACCCACCAAACAAGGACTGTCCACGGATTTAGGAGACGGTAACAGAGCTAATCAATTTCCTCTCTGATTTGCCAAAATCAACTACTCAAGTTAGTAAGGACTCTGCCGAAAGCCCCTGGGAAGACCGGCGAGGGAAAAAACGTACAGTATTTACAAATCTGGCACGGATAGAGGAGAGACAAACAGCCTAAAAGCATCACTCAATGCAGTGGGCCGTTGAGGCGCGTTATCACATGGGGGGGAGAACCAAAACCAAGCCAAGAAGCGCAATATGCTGAAGCCTGCGGTAAGAGTTTGGCCCCAACAAAAGCAGGCAAAGTGAGGGGGTTAGTAACGCACAGCTGGAAGCGTTACGGGGTAACAAGGAATCAAACGACAGCAAAGCTTTCCATGCGTGTGCGCACAACATTTCAGCCCCTCCGAAACCAGGGGGATCGTGCCATGCCACCCTGCTGGTATTTCCTACGATTTACACAATCTAGTAACTGTTCCTTGCCTTCGCTGTCGTTATTTGCACTCGTTTTGCGCCCTGCGCATGTTTCCTTACTAGCTGAAAGTCCCAGGTCCACGTCAGCTCAGGTGTGATCAGTTTGCTGACCACGGATGATCCGGATCGGGAGTCTCACCTATAAACCACAGCCGGGATACGCTTCCAGGACCGAAAGCTGGCCACGCTCTCCAGTTCCTTGTCGGTGATCCAGGCAGGAACGATGAGCTCCTGAGGGTAGCTGCCACAGAGCCTGCGTGGGAAAAGAAAGGGAAGGATTAAACGTGGCCGAGATATCTGCGGGAGCTACGCAGATCGTCTGTCAGATGAGCTTGGAGAGGTGCAAATTCTCCACTCATTGCAAAGGGGAATAAACTCTTGGACGTTTGTCGACAAAACCTTGTAGTCTAGACACACCCTGAGAGATGGATTTGAAAGTAGCATGGTCCTGCTATGAAGGCAGAGGACTGGACTCGACCTTTCAAGGTCCCTTCCAGTTCTAGGAGATAGACAATCTCCATAAATTTAATTTAATTGGTTAATGCAGTACAAAGGCAATTTCCCCTGTCTGGAGATCCACATCTCTGTGGATGACCTTCTTCCACCCTGAATTGACGAGCCTCTTCTACATAAGCACCCTCTTTCTTTTGTTGCATATATATTCATCAGATGAACTGGAGCGGTGTTTACAGAGGCAGGGAGATATAGATATATACAGAGCTTTTTTTGTAACGGTACTGCCTGGTATGTGGTATCGGCACCTCCAGACGCAGTACTAGTGCTCAACTTTTCCCCTGGTCTAGACTGCAGGGCTTTTTCGAAAAAAGTAGCCTTTTTTCGAAAAAACTTCACCTGCGTCTAGACTGCAGCCGCGTTCTTTCGAAATTAAATCGAAAGAACGCGGCTTTTCTTTCGGCGGCGGTACTCCTCATTTC